TATTTTATATTTATAGCGAATTGATCGGCAATATACATATATAAAATATACAGATAAATCGCATAGAGGATTAATTCTTGTTCATCTATCGCAACGCTAAAAATTACAGGTTCGGACATGGAACTGAAATTTTTCGAGAGTAACATTATACAGGGTTTTTCGCATAAGATGGCAAATTAAATCAGGGATGATTCTTTGATCAATTTCCAGCAAAAAATTGTATGTTTCACATGTTTATTGACAAAATTTCCTATAAATTCTTTACCAAACAATATTTTTGTTAATCATACGACTTCAGCTGTCAATTGGAATGATTTTAGAATAAAAATCTCAAAGACATAATTTACATGATAGTTAACCACTTTAGGTGCCTTTATTTTCTCCCAAAATTTTGGCAGCTGAAATGAATCAAATTATTTCTTATGATTAAACAAAGTGAGGAAAAATTCTAAAATGAACATTTTTTGTTTCGATCCTTCTCTCCCAAAAAGTTGAAAAATTTAATATGTTGTTAAACAAGCCAAAATGCAAAGTACATATAGAGGGTAGTTCAGTAATGAGTTCGAAATTGGGTCTCAAATTTCAATGGATTCCCAAATATAAATATTTTATGAAAATCAAATAGAGTTTTACTTCACCTGATCATCGCTAGTCTACGAAAGAAATGTAATTCAAGCAAAATTTTTTGGAAGAAGCTCATTGAGGCTTTTGAGACAAGGTTTGAAAATGAGGAGTGAGTATCCTCTTAAGTATATGAAACCAAAAAAAAATCCAAATTTTTAATACTTGCTAAACTTGCTAATACTTGCTTGGGTAGATAAAAAACCAAATTCATATATTTAATAATTGTAATGCAATATTTTGAAAATCTTCCTTTCAATTCAAATCTACATATTTGTAATGAACAGTAAAATTGATTTTATTAAATTGACATTATAAGAATTTATAAGTTGATTCACATATAGTAGTTGCCTAAATATTGCAAATAAATATTAAAATTTAGTCTTAACTTTACTGAATGTTTAAAGTTATATTTACGGTATATTTTAGGGACCATATCACTTTGGCTCAGTTCCAAATTAATTTTTTTTTCAAATGAATACGTTTAAATTTTATACATTTTTTCCAGATTGGAAAGGTTAAAAAAAACAATTTTTTCAGCAAAAGTTCGATTTAGAGAATTTTAGCCAAGAAATATGCAAATTTTTCGTGATATTATTTTTTAATTTTGTATAAATAATACTAAAATCCAAAGTATCATCAAAAATTATTAATAAATAATAATTTATAATTAAATTTTGTATTGTGAGTGCAAAACATACAAAAAAATCTATTCATTGGCGGCTGCAAACCATAATTAAATCAACAAGCAATAAAAAATTAAGTTAATCCATCTTAACTTCAAACAAATTTAAATTGGTTTTTCTTATCAAATTTTTTAGTAAATTAAATTAAAAATCGCCAATTTTTACCCCCTTAAAACAACTTCGATTAGGAAAACATTTTAAGTGTACTTAAATTTTATTGTAAAACAACTCTTTATCTCTATTGTAAAAATAATTTTTTTCCAGATTTGTCTGTTCTACAAAATTATTTTTCTGACTTATTCAGATATAAATTTCGTACTTCAATTCAAATAATCTTATCTATACTTACTGAATTGCTATAATTAAAGAGAAATTTCATATGGCTAGTTTCATGATAACGATTACAAATCAATTGATAATGACGTTTCTAATCATCGTGGAGGTGAAAATGTTTTTTTTTGCTAGACTAAAACTGTGTTTACTTATTGCATTTATTTTATTTACTTTTATGGACTTTGCTTGTTCTTTTATCAGGAAGCAAAATAATGATAAGGCTTGAAAAATGTTTTGAATTTATTACGCCTGAATCATTCAAATAATATCAGTTTCAAGGTGATCACAAAAAAACTGATTAAATTATTTCTTTATTTATTATTTTTCTCCCCTTAATCAAATCAGATTTTAATTAATGGTCAATACTTTGATTCCATTTTAAACCATGTACATACATTATACACACTTTCATGCATCATATTATAAAAAGAAAAAAAAAATTCCCCCATTTTGTTATTTTGAGAATCATGTATGCAAAATTATGTACATATATTTAATAAATTATACTGTATGACGTCAATAGTATTAAATTTTGACGTCATACCTTTCAATGCGCATTTAAATGCATATTATGTATATATGTATTTATAACATATAACAAACATAATACATGAGCCTGTGTTATTTTAAGCTCTACATAAAATTTTTTTTTATAGTATATATACAAAAAGTTTTAATATTAAACATAAATTATGTTGCAACATAAAAGTATAATCCTTTATAGGTGCATATTTTGTAAAACATAACCTATATACAACGTGTATGTACAAACATACATGCACTTAAATAATTGTGTTGGATCACATACTATGTATAACTACTTATGTATACCATTTTTAGATTTATTTTATACCAATATAAGTATGTAAAGTAAGAAATCTGCAATTTTTAAATATTCTCCGAAAATCGAACTAAATAAATTTAATCATAGGGTTTTTCTTTGAAAATTTTAGTTTTAATGTACGTAGCTCAAGGTGACAGCGTATTTCAAAACTCTGCGCTTCATATTTTTTAGTTAGATTTGAAAATATTAGCGTATTTTAAAATAAAGCGATCCAAGGGTTAAAAAAAGGTATTTTCCAAAACGCAATCTGTAATCTACAAATTCAAGACAATTCAACGCGGAATTAAAGTGTCATTTTTGTGACCCTTATAGATACCATATAGATGTTTGTATTCTGGGCTAGAAATTAATGTGCAGATTGCATTTTCGAAAACATTCGATATCCAGATTTGAATACTTTTAATTTGTTCTAAATTTCAACTATATAATCCTAAGTTCTGCATCATACTTTCATTTTCTTTTACCTTAAAAAAATTATATTTAACAGAATTAAATTAACTAGGTACAACGTGATCTGTAACTTCCATAAATTATTCTGGAATATTTATCTTTTACATATCTTATTATAAATTGCAAAAAAAAATTCAAATTATAATAAAAAAATGGAGAATTTTAGAAAAAATGGAGAATTTATAGGTAAATTAGATTAGTATAAAAATAAGCCCATATTTTCTCAAAAACTTAGGTAAAAAAGATACCTTGGATAACCTCCCAAGTAATGTTAACGAATGTCTAATTATTTCAATTTTTTACACTCAATTGCCTTCATCTAAATTAAAAATGATTAAAAAGCGTAAAGACATTTTAATAGTTACATTTTTTATTATTACTAAGGTTTTATATACGTACATAATGAAAAAATTCTTTATACTACATTATTTTTAGGAAAAAACATTTATGTATTTTCAGAATTTATTTTATAATCACTTCCACGAAGTGCAGGTTCAAATCCTATACCATTTTTAATTACATCATTAAATGTCGAGATTAATATTAGGGCAACGGTGATGTGATGTAAAATATCTCGAGTTCTATTTGCAATTGCCAATTTAAGTATTATTCCACCTTGTGCCAATAATAATAATGCCGTAACAATCTTAATTAAAAAAAAAAATAATTAATTTAAATTAATAAAATATAATAAATTTTATTAGAATTTCAAATTGAATGTTATAGAACGAATTAGATAGTTTTGCATTATTACCACAAAAATATATGTATAATAAAAATTATATAAAATGAATTAAACATAATCAAGCATAAAAATATTCAAAAAAAACAAAGAGGATATTGTTCTCAATACTGAAGAATGATTAGCTTCGCTCGTCAATAATTTTCTTATCCAACATGCAAAACATTACTATTCTAAATAAACACTAAATTAATTTTAATATTCTGTGTCCTCGTCAAAATAGTTTCTATATTACAAATAAAACAGAGAAAAATCAGAATATTTAGAGCTACGCAATTAATTTATAATACCCCTCTGCTTAACATATGGGCAATGCTTTTCAAATTATTCATGTTTGTGTGCTTTAAGACTGAAGTTTAAATAATTTCTGTGATATTTAATTTTTCGTGTCGATTTCCAGTATTGTACCCTCAATATTTTACATAATATGGTCGAATAACATTTAAAGTTATCAAATTCGTGTTTCAATTTTATATAAATTAATTAAGTAGGCTTTAATGTTATGAACCATTTGTAAATTTCGAATGGTAAATGAATGAAGCACTTGCTACAATTTCTTATAATCTATATTTGGAACAATTTAATATTAATTGTTTTCTTTTCTCTTATAAATTATAGAAATGAATGCAATTGTTTTTAACTACATACATGTACACACATACACTAGACGAATATCTACACTGGTTGATCTTAAAAAAGAAAAAAACAAAATAACTTTCACCTGGCAATTTTTAATAATTTTTTTATTAATTATCTTATGAATTACACTTTTGACATTTTGAATTTAACAACACGTATGCAATTATTAAAGAAATTGGGCCAAATAAATTCATTAGATATATTTGGCTTACAGATTATCCAATATATTCAAAAAAAAAATTTTTGGTTGACAATATTGAAAAATAAAAAATTAAAATTGAATTGAATAAATATTTATACGACAAAATCAAAAATATGTTAGAAATGGACGGTATCCCAATAAACCGTTAATATAGGAAAGCTAAAGCAAAAAATCCCAGAGAAACTAAAATTTTAGAGTTATTTTTATACAAATTTACTGTTGTTGAATGTATTTTATTTCTTTATTGAAAGAGGATTATTGCTAAGCTCCTTCTAAATCTCTTATTGTTTCTTTCCAATTGTTATAAGTGCCTTGCTATATATTATTAACTAAATTGATTGCAAGCTTTCATTCATTTAACTACCTTTTAGATAAAAATTTTAAATGTAAATCATAAACATTTGAAAAACTATTTATTTTTCTTATTAAATTTATCTTTAAGCTTTATTTGTGTATGATGAAAAATTTTGAAACAAATTTAAATTACCTGCAATATTATTGAAGTTATAATCATAGCCATTAACAATTCATACCTTTCGTGAGCATTCTTTACTTGAGATAAATATTTTAATTGTGAAATATTTGATGTTAACAAAGTTACATCCAACATTCCTTTGACAGCAGTACTTTTATTTGCATAAACATTTTGTTGTTTTGTTTCATCCTAAATGGAATTCATGTTTATTAAAACAGGAGGAAAAAAGAAAGTGGCCTTTTATACTGCTTATACTTACGCGGATCCCATCATTGCTATTATTTTCATTATTTTCTTCATCTATTTCATCATTTTGAGTAGCATTTGAGTCTTTTTCTCCCATTTTATATTTAAGACTTTTAACCTTTTATTGAAGATTTTAATCGCAGAATTTATATAATTAGAAAAAGGAATATTCTTACGTTGTGTTCAATAGCTGATCTTGACTAAATTTAAATTTAGTTAGAAAGGTATTTCCAAGCAAGAATTTATCCATATCCTAATGTGTATAGATTAGATACTAAATCTTATCGTGGCTAGAAGCTTTTAGAATATTATTGGCCTGTGTAAAAAAGTTTTTAAATTTTTATTTTTAATCAGTGATTGTATATATGTAATTGCTATTTTAATTATAGGTTATTCCTTCAGTAGGTGAACAATAAGTATAAAGAGTAGAAAAATTTCTGTATAATAATAAAATAATTAACAAGTAAAAACGTTTTAGTCGGACATGAATTATACCCTGCACCTTGACAATCTGAGTATAAAGACTTGTTTTTAAAGTATTTAAAATTACCTTTCATTCCAAATTTCATGAATCTAACTTTATTATTTTTCCGAATATTTAAAATTAGCTTTGAAGATTTTATCCAAACGTGTCAAGCTATTCCATAAAAATTTCGAGAATATATCTGAATTATAATTGGACATGAGGCTGTCGAATATCATATAGTCAGCTTTATTTTTTTTCCAAATATACAACTTTTGAATTGTATGGCAGGTAACCGAACCAGTGCAACTATTCCATTAAAATTTTTAGGGCATAATATGTAAAATGTAAATGTATCTATATTAGTTTCTGATATATTTAAAACAATTTGTCCGCATTGCTCCAATAACCATAGGGTCAGTTCTTGGCACGAAAGAAACAAATTGTGAAAGTTTGGTTGTATTTACTTTATTCGTTTTTAAGTTATCGTGCGATCGGACGGACTACACGAAGGTGTAGGGTAATAAAAAATAATTTAATTATGGGGGCTAGTTCGAAAAGCAAAATGATTTTGTGATATTAATATTTTTGAAATTGAAATTTTTTAAATTTAATTAAATTTTTTAAATGTTTAGAAAGAAAGGTAGAACCTACTGCTTTTTTTCAGGTTTTCCAAGTAAGTGAAATTCGTCATTTTTCATGTTTCATCAATGAAAGTGGTTTTGAAAGCTAATTATGTTAATTCTGATAATCTGCTTAGATCAGACCTAAAAATGTTATCAACTTTTGCTGGAAATTCGATTTCCGAGACATCCTATAAAAACTCTTAAAAGTTTGGATTTCTAAATTAGAAAATTTCACAAAAATTTATTATTTTTAGCACTTTTCCAAAAAATTTTGTGAAAAAAGTGCTTATTAGTTTCGCTCTGTCCGTCCGTCCGTCCGTCCGTCCGTCCGTCAGTCCGTCCGTCCGTCCGTCCGTCCGTCCGTCCGTCCGTCCGTCCGTCCGTCCGTCCGTCCGTCCGTCCGTCTGTCCGTGTGTCTGTTTACAAAACTTTTACACCTTTGAAGATAGAAAGCTGAAATTTAATACGTACATAGATCTTCACTAGAAACTTATTTCCGTAGAACAAAATTTTTACCTATCACCCCCCTCTAGAAGTTATACCCCCCCAAAACCCTAAAAATGGCTTTTTTAAATTTTTGTTGCAATGAAACCATAAGCATTTTTGAAATTTTGCAAATGCAGAAAGGCAATGGCTTGCTTCCCCTTGCGCGGTATACTATAGTTCAACTTAAGAAAAACAAAATGGCCGCTCAAATTTACCGTTATTTAAAGTCCTTTTTTTCCAAATTTTTGATGTCGTTTTTCTTCTAGACCCCAGACTGTAGAAGCTTGAAATTTTAGGAGCTTTTAGATATTAATAAATAGTTCATTTTGTTAGAAGAAAATTTTTTTCCATCTCCACCCCCTCTCAAGTTATCACCTCTTGAAATTCGTAAAATTTGAATTTTTGACACCTTATATTTCCGAAACCGCAAGCTTTTCCAAATTTTTATAAACGCAAAAAGCTAACGGTAAATTCCGTGAAATTAAAAAATATAATTATTTTTCTTAACTCACACAATTAACCCTTAAACTCGAGCATTATGTTAACCCCTTTTTATATTAATTTTTGCTTTATTTCAAAGACTGCATATATGCGTCATCCTAAATATATGCAATCCTAGAAATAGTTTTGTATATAAATGAAAATAATTTTAATAGTGTTATAGCTATACATAGACTGTATTTAAAAGCAGAATTTTCACTTGTTGAAGGGAAAAGTGCTACAATACAAACCATTGGTTTGACCCAACTTTATTTATTTTTTAGCAAAAATACGTATTTTCCTTGCGTTGCTAAGTAAACTTTCAATTGATTCGACACCGAATGAGGCTTATACATAAAATTTCAAGAAAATATTTTTGAAAATCATTAAAACTACTAAATGGGCCCGAAGCAAGAGTCCAATTGCTGAAAACTGAGTTCTACCACACCAACAATTTTTTTATTTTTACTTTCCAACTTTATCTTATTGTACTTTTAATTAGGGCTTTAACTCTAAATTTTGAAAATATTCTGCTTCGACAATAAAAAAAACAAGTAAAAAGTATTTCACTCAATAAGACCCAAAAAGTTGATAAAGTCATGACATCTCCAAAGTTGAATTAAGAGTTTAAAATTTTCATGGCATTTTATACACCTTACTCATAATATGCAATGCTGCCGGAAATAATGGAACGCTTGAAAATTTTTTCAAGTCAAAAATTACCCCGGAAACCTTCTAAACAATTACATATTTATTTTTAAACATTTAAAATATTTATAACATAATTTTTTTTTAGAAATAATACTTATATATCAGAACCATCTCTTCCTCTGAAACGTAATTGATTCCAATTCCAGATATAATAACATTTAGAATGAAAATTAACAAAACGTTGACAAAGATTGCATCATTTAAGTAAACTGCTACTTTTTGTTCAAATTTTCTTTCCGTATCCAAAGCTCCCATAATAATAAAAAGAATTCCAGCCATAAACTTTGATATTAAAGAAAAAGAAATTTTTATAATGCAAAATTTTTAAAATAAAAAGTTTTTTTTTGTAAGTTTTGTTTGAATGATAAAATTATTATACAATAATTTTTTACTTGTGTTTGTCAACAATTAAATTTCTATAACAGAGCGCTTTAATGAAAATATTTCGATTATTCCGATTTCATTTGCTTTTACAATTAACATATTATTAGAATTTATGAATCTTAACAATGAAATTCAATAATTAAATTCAATTATTTAAATAAATGAAAAAATTTTAAATTTTTTTTGGGTCTTTGTCAAATTTCTGATTTGACTGAAAAAAATGTGCACGTGGAAAATTTTATTTAGATTCAGAGATTATAGAAATTATTATTTCTTATAAATAATTATAGAAATGGCGCGAAAAATAATTTAGCGAAAATCTTGCACAAGACTATGTAAAAGCCCTTTCACTACTCTTTTTAAACTTAAAGGACGCCAGTAAGATTTACTTAAAATACCTAGAAAAATTTGAATACACGCTAAAATAAACTAAAAATAGTTTATTTACACTTCCCTACCATGAAATAGTGCGTTCCAACCGAAAAATCGACATCCGGAATTTGGTTTCATTCTAAAATGGAAAATAAGATTTACTTTCATTCATTATCGATATCTTAACTATAGAAATCCATAGAGCAGATAAATTAGCATTTGTTTCTAGATTCGATAAGAATTAAAACACTTTTGTTATTAAAATTCCATTAAATGTTTACTTTTCTTATTAATTTTTAACTTTGCACTTAAGTACTTGTTACTTTAGAAAGAATTTGTTGATATTTAATAAATTATAAATTTCTTAAGTATTTTCTTTTAGAAATTTAACATTCAGCACTTGTAAAAAGATCTAGAATCCGAGAATTTTTTATTAAAATCCGATCGCGATGTACATGATTTGGCTGTCTCTATAGGAATAAAAGCAGAAGAAGTGTTAAATATTATACATTTAATGTGTTCCAGACAATTAAAGTTCTTCTAAGCTGAAATATTTTTATAAATAAACTTAAGCAAAATATCAAAAACAACACATTTGTAAATTTTCTTGATCTTTTAAGACTAAAGCGAATATCCTCTCCTATAGTCAACACTTTAGTGCTAGAAAAAATTTTTTGTCTTTCATGTGACACGGAAAAATTTTTTTATATTTTTTATATTTTTCTTTTGTATACCTTCTAACATATATTTATTAAAATTATTTCCTTTAAAAGCACAAAATATTTATTTACCTGTAATATAATCGACGAAACAATCATAGTCATCATATATTGATAGTCATCACGGTACTTTCCAACTACTAAAAAATATCTTAATTGTGAAGCATTTGATGTTAACAAAGCTATATCTAATAATCCTTGGACAATTACACTTTTACTTGCATAAATATTTTGTTGTTTTGTTTCATCCTAAATGGAATTCATGTTTATTAAAATATTTTTAGTGGACAAATATAAAAATGATCACTTACACTGCTTTTATTCTCTTGTCTATTATTCTCTTTGTCTATTTCATCATTTTGAGCCGAATTTGAGCCCTTCTCTCCCATATTATCTTCAAGATTAAAAATTTTGAAACTAGAGTTCCGAAATAAATAGGAAGAAGGAATTAAGACTAAACTTGATTAAATTTAAATTCTTAATAAACAAGAACTTTTCAATATCCATAGAGAAATTTAAATAGATTAGATAGTTAATCTAATCATGGTTTGTAGCTTTATCAATTATTTATTAAATTGTTATATATATATACATAGATTTTATAATTTAAATGAGTAATTTAATGTTTAAAATATTTATTATTTATACAGTAGGTAATTGAGTGTAAAAAAGGTAATAGTTAGAATTTGTGTGTAAATTAATTTAATGTACAATGTGTTTAATAAAAGCTCTTTTTTCACTGGTTCCAAATGAGAGACTCCTTACTAATTCCATGTCTTGCCGAAATTCTTATTCGCTTTATATAAATAAATCAACCTGATTATTTATTCATATCGATATCTTGAACAATTTTGAATTTTGTTGCAAATTTTCTAAAAACTTTTAATTAAAATAGTTAGTATTTTCTACCATTAATGTTCCCAATTGTAATTATTCGTTCTTGTTATTCTTATAGTTATTGCAAGTTTTGTGTCAAGAACTCATTTTTGGCCAGAAATATCGAAATCTCGCTTCATTAAAAATACCGTAAATTTTTACCAGATTAACAAAAATAAATTCTTAAATAGCAATAATATACACTTATAAACTTATGCATTTGGATGAAAAATTTTATATCAGATTTTAATAAAAATTCAACAAGCAGTTAAAATAGGCACAAATTTTAAACTCTTGAAAAAATTTTATCGTTATTTAAATATATTTAAATTTGTTTACTAAAAGCTTTCCAAAAATTTAAATTAAGCTTTATTCATTTCACTTCAAAATAAAATGTTCTAAAATATATTTTTATTAGAACAAATCAAAGACTTAAACCTTTTAAAAAATATTCACAATTATTATATTAATAAATTCCTCCATATAATGGAAAAACAAGTACAGACAACAAAATGGTAGAAAGACGCCATCTTAATATTTAACAATTTAACAAAATCCAAAATAAATTTTTTAACACAATTTTTGTCTCTGACTTTCTCTAATTTTGCCTTTTTCCGTTATCCTTTGTTAAAATCAAATTTCTTGCTTATAACACGCAAAATCCAACATTTTCATACCATGTAATATATGTAGTAGTAAATCAGTATTAGTCCTGTTGAATAACAACATTAAAAATCTTGTATTATCAAAATATACAATTAAGAAAAAATTAAAAGGAAAATAATAAAACATATAGGAATAAATGAAACAAAACAAAAGTAGTTTATGACAAAATAAGGAAAAAAAAATATAAAAACAAAAAGAAAACCGAAAAGAAACAAAACAAAATCGGAATGAAAACATTTGTATACGGCTTATTATGAGCTATCCTTGAAAGATTTCGTACATATAAACATTCCAGTAAAGAAAAAAAATAAGCACACCAATAATAACAACAACAACAACAAATATAACAAGGACAATAAGAAGTAGAAGAATAATCATAAGAATCATCAGAAAATAAAAAAAAGTTAAAAACAAAAATCATAATAAAACTAGTGCAAGAAATTGATTTCACAGGAATTTACTCTATCTGAAGGAAAATTGAGTTTTTTAACCACAAACAAGATTGTGGTGTGGTTTCGCATAATATTTTTAATAATAAATTATTTTAATAATAAAGATGAGAAAGTTATTCAAAAAATTTAGACTGCAATAAATTGAAAGAAAAATTTTTTTATAATTATTAATTTTGAATTAAACACAACACTATTCGGAATTTGATTGAAATTCATGCAAAATGAATTAAAATATATTTCTTGATTCACGCATATATTTTTGAACAAAATATTTCTCTATTTCTTAACAATATATTGGGGAAAATTTTTACAAATATTAAAATTTTAAGATTTATATTTAGTTTTCAATATTAGAGAGCTACACATTGGTTGTACTTTTAGCATATTTCTTAGTATGCTCAAAAGAAACTTCAGAATTATACCGTCACTTATAACAATATTAACAACTTTAATGACATAAACTTATTTTCAAAGGAACAGATCAAAGAATTTTTTAATTCGAATTTGTTTAATTACGCGAAAAATATAATTTGAATTTCCAAAAGAGCTAGTTAGAAATATATAGTAATAAAAGGGGTTATTTCAGAAAAATTTTAATTATGATTGGGATTAGATGCGAATATACCGTCATTTGAATTATTTTGCCAATTATATAATTTTAAAGAAGAATACAGATACTACACGAATATTTAAAAACAAAAAACAAATTAAATTTTCTTTAGTTTTACTTTAAACTTTAATGGATTAAACAGGTTGTCATTAATTCTTCATCAGGTTAAAATATTGCTTTAAACAGGTTGTCAGCTGTATGATCTTATAAAAATTTTTTAAATATATTAGAGTCCACCAGCTACACTTACTCGTAATTTAAATTTGAAATCTCAATACATTTTTTTTAAATCAATATTACAAAATTAAATTTATTTAAATAAAAAGTCTTAAGGGTTGTTCTTTTCAAAAAATAATATTCAATTTTTAATATTTTCATTTTCAAAGAGAATTATAATGCCCGAAAATGTGTGAAAAAATTAAAAAAATTCTAAAAAAAAATTTTGACACTCTCATTGTAATTCTCACTTTCATTCGTATTCTCTTTAATCTGAGTAATTTCCGATGGATTTATTTCCGTACACCAAAGCAATATAGAACTGGGAAAATTCTATTTTATTTCTTTTTCTGTTTTCTGTTTTCTTTTTTTATTACTCTTTATTTTGAATTTATATTGTATATTTTGTTTTTGTTTTCAATTTTCACAAATCTTTCAGTTCTGGTATACGCTCTTGGTAACCAACATTTTATTTTTGTTTCTTTTACTTTTCTGTTTCAATTTTTTCTTTCCTTCTTCTTCTTTATTATTATTGTTTTGTTTTGTCATATCATATATTTTGAAAATTTTCAGTATCAGAGAAATCAGTTCGAATCGGGAGGGCGTGAATAAAACACGTGCTTAAAAGAAAAGGACTAAAAATTTAGAATTAAAGTGAAAGGAAAAAAAAATTTTTTTTTTTAATAAAAAAATTCAAATTAATTTTTTGAATTTTTTTTTTAATTTTTTTACATGATTTTAATTTTTTTTTTATATTGCATGTCGATTTTGTAAGGATTTTGTAAAATTTTATAATGCATTCAATTTTATATGTGTATATTGGAATGCGTGTGACATAAATCATTTTAAAGAAATAATATTACAAAAAAAAAAACAGAAAAAAGAAATAGAAAAAGTTTGATTTTTAATTTAACCTTAACCATACTCAAACTGAAAAATAATGTGTTTCTATCAGGTTTTCTTCTTCGTTATCCTGCAATAAAAAGGAAAAAATAAAAAAAAAATACCCAATGTGATATATTTTTTTTTGTTATTATTATTATTATTATTGTTATGAAGAGATTACAAAACACACTTACTCACACACACACTATGTAAGCACATGATGTTATCCTCATACAAATTATTTAATAGTCTTATATACATTACAGTAATTTTATGTAAAAGAATTTTAGGAAATATAAGAAAAAAATAAAAACAAAAATTAATAATTTTCATAATTATTAAAAAAAATGGAAAAATTTTGAATTTATTTACTGTTATTAAATAAATAGAAAAAAATGTTTTTGGTTTTAAAGAAAACAAAAATTTTAAAAATAAGAAAATAAATGACTGCATATAATCTTTTACAAACACATACGCATATACGCACATTATATATGCATGTGTATGTGCAATTGTTCGTATATTTATGCAAGAATACATAATATATGCAAAGTTGTTTAAATTTACAAATGAAATAATTTTAAAAATGTGTTTTTAAAGTTCAAAGAAAAAAAATGTTTAAAAATTAAAAAATTTTTGGAAAAAAAAATTAAAAAATTTACAAAAAATAAAAAAATTGTAAAAATGATGAAAAAAACTACACAGTTATGTCAAAATTATTATTTTTTCATATGTGAAGGAAAAGGATAAAATCAAACAAAACAACACAAGGGTTCAGAAGGATAACAAAATAAAAACAATCAAGGAAAAAGTGAATTTTTGTAGGTCAATAGTTGTGCAATTTTTGTATATTTTTTTTATTTTATTTTTTGTAATTTCTATTTTTTCCTCCTTGTGTTTTATTATTAATTTTTTTTTTTTCTAAAATGCGTGTATTTTTGAAGAGAATTTTTAAATAATATTCTGTAAAGAAAATTACTAGGACTTTTTTAAATAAAAGTGATGTTTAGAATCTTAATGCTCGGATAAACCTTTAGAAAATTTGTTTAAATTTGAAATAATTCGAACGTATTAAGAATTTGATCTTTTCTACATATGTAAAATAAAGGTAAAATAAAGAGAGCGCTATCTTAATTTAGACCTTAACGATTCATAAAAGGATTGTAGAATCCTTGAATTCCAAATTCGAATTGCGATAATACGATTTTTAAATTCGATTTGTCGTTAACATAATCTTCAAAAGATTTTATTACTGTTATAAAAAATTCACGAAACATTTTGAATTTAAAAATTTTCAAATTTTTACAATTTTAAACTAAATATGACCGTCAAATTTATAAATAAATATGTACATACTCGTATATATGCATTTTATAATTACGTGTAATGGTGAAAATTTCAAAAAAATACAAAACCTTCAGCATCATTTTTGTTACAAATTTTATTTAACCTCGAAAATCTGTAGTTGGAAAAATGTGTTTAAAATTTAAATTGTTTAAATAAAATAAAAATTTTTATTTGTTTTTTTTTTCTTGTGCATTTTCACAAGATGAGTTCCACAATATGTAAATACAGAAGATGAGTTCCATAATATGTAAACGGATTTAAAATAAAAAATCTCATTATAAATTTATTTATGAATTTAATGTCCGTGTATAAAAAGTCTGTGCCAAGTATACAAAATTTTTAAAATTTTTATTTTAAAATAAAATTTAAATTGAGATTTTTAAGTGATTATGAATTGAATTTTTTAATTTGGTTAAGGAAATTGATAATGTTTTCCAAAAATGGCAATTAAAATCCGCTAATACTTGCAGTGGTTATTGCTTTCCTAAAATTAACAATATTATTCATAACTCTCTTAAGTTCTCTTAAAATGTTTACATTTTTAAATATTAAATTGTTGTTTTTTTATTATTTTTATAACATTTAATTGAGTTTTAAATTTTGAAAGTTGGAATTTATAAAAATTCTTCAAGCGTTTTAATATTGACCCTTTATCGTTTGAAATGTGTCCAATAAATTTTAAGCATCGGGCAGATTTGTAGCAATTTTGTTTTTTAAATTTGTCATTTCAAAAGATATTTGGTAAAGTCGCATGTCTGCGTTCCAAAAAAAATTCTGTAAAAACATATTGCGTTAAACTCAAAACAGTTTAAAAGTACTAAATTTGAAGTTAAAAAAAATTATTTCACATAATTAGCTTTGTAAATTTTTTTTTACTTTCTCCTTATAAGTAAAAAAAAAAATTAAAAATGTTAAAATAATTAATTAATAGTTTTATTACCAAAAATTTATTAAATAATATCATTCATTCGCCGTAAAATATGCAAAATTTTTGTTAATTGAAAAATTGGGTAAATCGAAGCGCGCCTTCTTCACAAATAATATTCATAAATCTGACAAAAAAAGAAGAATTAGATTTTTAGCCGGTAAATAGAAATGAAACGTATTTGATGAGCTGAATAGAACAAATATGCCAATAGTAATATTGAGTGTTTACCAATATATGGGGACACGCAACATACAACATTGAAAATTCTTCAAAATATTAATGAAAATTTATAGGTCTTTATTACTGATTTCAAGATTATTGTTATTATTAAATTTGTTTTTTATTCAACCCAATTTTAATCTCAATTCAGTATACTAACTTTAAACCAGGTTTGCTATTGTGTATTGAAAAAATTGTGTTAATTTAGATATTTTTGAATGTTTGCAACCTCCTGTTTTTGACTAACAACGACAACTTCATTTAAGTGCTTATGATTTGTAATTTTAATGTATAGAAATAATTATGATTCTTAAAATGTAATAAAGTAGGTAAATTTTCCATCTTTTGCTATTCTTAAAGAATACAATTCCAAAGCCATGTCCCTTACAGTCTATAGAAATTTCAAAATCTATTATATTGCCTTAATCCAAGCAGTATTTGGGTTCTGTAATTTTTTCAGATTTCACTTTCAGTTTAACAGCATAAAAAAGACATACATATAATAATATTTGTTAAAAATTTGAAATTTAAACAATTATATAAAAAGTGAACAGAAAATTGAAATAGACCTAAGCATAATTTGTACTTAGATTTTGAACTAATCAGACTTCATTAGTTTTCAAATTTTATCATTTTTACGTTGCAATAAATTATATTTGAATCGGAACATTTCATTATTTATGGAAGCATGTACTGACATACCCATACGTATATCATGCATTTAAATGATAATATTAAAAGAAAAATAATAAAAAACAAATAAAAATAAAATGAAAAAATTCTGCGGTAGTTTTTACTTTTTTTTTTACAATACAAAAAAATGTGGCAATTGCTTTACAAATAGAATAAGAAAAAAATAAATTAAAATCATAAAATAGTAAAAGTACACGCACATGTCCTCTGTGTAAAAATTTATAAACACATACTCATATATTTAGCAAGTATGTATGTAGGTACACATGTGTTCTAACCATTATTAGAATTATATCAAATGTTGTTATGTAATAACTGGGTTAAATTTTAACATAGAAAACTTTATTTTGTTCTTCTCCTCCTTTTTTTATTTACAGTTCTGCTTTTTTATGTTTTGTTATTTTGTTGGTATAAAATTGCCGGCATAGCAATTGAAAATAATTTCTTATTGTTCTTCTTTTTCATTTTATTTTTAATTTGTATATGATATAAAAATATTGATAACTCATATGATGTTTAGAAAAATTTTTAACATTTTAAATTTCAAAAAAAAAATCTGAAAGTATGTCAAAAATCACGAACTTTTTATCTGCACGCATGTATGCCTAATTTTGTTTTTAGAAATTCTATGAATTTTAAGGTTTAAATTTTTAAATTTAGAAAATTACTAGGGACTTAACATTTAACATTATTGAAAAAAATTATCGACCCAGCCGTCTTTTTTAATGTCTTCTTTAAATTAAAAACATAGTTAATTTAATTATAGGGATTGATTACCTGTATAATCCGAAATTCTGGAAATTTTATGTAATTACTGCGCAAAAACAAGTGCATGTATGGGAAGAATGATTTTTTAAATTTAGAAGAATAATTTTTGTAATATATGTCCAACTATTTCAGAAATCAGCGTGAATATCTCAACTCAAAATTCAATGATTTTGTTTTGGAAAGTACAACGTTTCCTCGAAATTTTTACATTAAATATTGAAAAGAAAAGTGTCGAGTCCATCCGTTTTGGAATATTTCTTCCGGAATTAACTTACTTTTTTGTATCTGGAAGAATCTTTATCAATTTGGTTTATTTTGTATTAAATTTTTTTATAACACTTTTTTTCGATGTGGTTTACTTTTCTGTCGTCCAAATGGTTTAAAAAATTTTTTTCCTGAATGTTAAATCTGACTGTATATGAAACAATGTGAATTTAAGAAAACTGGACTTTAAAAAAAAAATTTTACTAAAAGAGTAAGATATAAAATTGGAGCTTAATATAGAAAGCTTATTTAAATCGATCATTTTAAACGAAAGTAACACAAACTCTTATTTTGTAACAACAATGTATATCAACAAAAATAATGTTATGACTCATATGACTAGAGACGAGCAAAAACACTAGTCACCGTATGCTTATAAAAATTACCAAATAAATAAGATTTTTGATTAGATTCGTAGATAATCTCAAAATTTTGTGCGAGATGGCTGAATTTTCTTGTTTGAATAACATGGATAAAAATTGTAATTGCCCATGATTTCTGCAAATATAAGGAATATTTTCCAAAAAAAAATTTAAAATTTCTGATTCAAACACAATACAAACGAATATTATTACGTTTGTTGCATTCAAACAGAATAACATAAAAATTACATGCTTTGAAAAATAATTTGCTATATATTTTATATTTTTTTAAAATTTTTTAATTTCAACATCTTTAAATTAATTTTAAATATTCAATAAATCATTTATGCGAATATTCTTTATGCTTGAAATCACTATTATTCGATTACAATAACTAATTGGTCATAAACCATTTTCCTAAATTTAAATTCCTTTTATGTACTAATAATGTACAGGATTATGCAATATTTTATGTATATATAATAACACATTGTGTATACATAAATTTATGCATTTCTTTAGAATACATAGAGAAATACAATTTTAAAATATTCAAATGTATTTAAAATTCAATTTAACCTCAATTTTTATTCATAAAGCAAATTCTATTTAATAACGTACCCTAGTGTTAAATAAAACAAAGCAAAATGAAAAGAAAAAAAAAATGTGTTTTTTTTAGAAATAGAAGCAAATTGAATATTGAAGTTTTTTGAACTGAATTATTCTCAGTTGAAATCTTATAATAAAAACAAAAAAGGAAAGCAGTAGGAATTCAATTGCAATTATTTTAATTCTTGAATTTCTTGTTTTTATTTCACATAAATGTAAAATTACTTTGATTAGATCTAGCCCATAGATATATACATATAAAAAATCATATGATTGTCCTAATTTTTAGTAGATATTCAAAAGGTTTCTCAATTTTAGTACAGCTAGAAAACAAGTATAGCAACCAAAATAATTTTTCGGTGAAAGCAGTTGAAATGTGGAACTGAACAGCGTGTGATTATTGCACACTTTATTAGTTTAATGAAAAATATGCAGATTTTCTTATAAAATTTTGCATTTTACGCACTCTGCTAGCAATTAAATGTGGCATGTTGATCTTAGAATTTGATCAAAATTTTATTTCTTGTATAGTTCCCAAAGCATACCTGATCTTAATGTTGAAACATTGTTATACATTTTGGTATTACATATTTTAATATTTCGGGAGTCTTTCATAAAAATTTTATATTAATGTA